TCACTGATCCGCTGCCTCCTGCGTACCCCACACTGGGGATCGAGCCCGCAACCCGGGCATGTGCCCTGACTGGGAATTGAACAGTGACCTCCTGGTTTCATAGGTCGACGCTCAATCACTGAGCCATGCCGGCCAGGCCCCAGGATTTTTTTACAGACAAAGGCACCGTGTTGCCTAGAAGACACAGAACCAGATAGCAGCAGGCCTCCCCGAACAGTGCCTCCCTCTAGGCCAGGAAAGGCTCTCCAGCATGGCCGTGGCATGCCGGCGGGAGGAACTTTCCACCCTGGGGTTTTTCCTTAAAAAAATAAGAATAATAACAAGACCTGCCCTCCAAGGAGGTTCTGAGGATTAAATACCATTTGAAAATGTTTTATAAATTATAAGGTGCTTTACAAGTATGTTTGTGTAATCAAGTATGCAATTCTATGACTAAACACTGGCACTTTGATTTCGTAGTTTATCTTGTGCAAATTTCTGGCTGCCTTACCCACTTCAATTACACCTCGGTATCTTTAATACACTAGAAAACTTTTAGGGTTCTTCACATCTTATGTACTACTTTTGAGAAAGAAATGGAAGACTAGACATAACCTCACTAAGGAAGAAGACACGATGACAAAAGGAGGTGACTTCACTAGAAAAGTTTCAAAATACTACGTTCTGTTCCAAAGAGTATAGCTCCCTTTCACAGTTAAATATGAACGAACATCCTTACGATGGACGGCCGACCAGATTCTCCATGGCTCGTTGTTACCTCTTTCACGTCACTGACTCTCACCCAGCTCCCTCTTTGTCAGCCACACAGGTGGATTTTTATCCTGGAACATACTTGCAATCTTCAGCCCCAGGGCCTTTGCATGGCTACTCATTCCCTTTGCCTATATGGATTCTCCCTCTAAATACCTACAAGACTTCCTTCTTCACCGCCTTGAAGTTGTCACCTTCTCCTTCTCTCCTTCTCCCACTTTATTTTCTAGACCCATGGTCGGCAAACTGCGGCTCGCGAGCCACATGGGGCTCTTTGGCCCTTGAGTATGGCTCTTCCACAAAATACCACGTGCGGGAGCGCACGTACAGTGCGATTGAAACTTCGTGGCCCATGCACAGAAGTCGGTATTTTGTGGAAGAGCCACACTCAAAGGGCCAAAGAGCCGCATGTGGCTCGCGAGCCGCAGTTCGCCGACCACTGTATTTAGACCATTTATCACCACCTATAATACTTCATATTCTGAACACATTTCAAAATTAAGTTTATTTCCAAGGTTTCAAAGGTAGACTTGAAGACTCAGTACCTTCTGCTTTTCTTTTTTCTTTATAGCTTAGAAACCAAACCCCTTTCTTGTAGCCTGTACTTTAATATATTTCAAAGGAGTGAAATATTTAAAAAAGTATTTAGCATGTAACAACTGGCCTCTTGAAAAAATATGAAAAAAAATATGAAAGTGTAATAGTTTGGTTAAATTTGAAAGGTGAAGGGAGATCTAACCCTTTCTGCCTCTGTCCCTCCTGCCCCAAAGCCCAGCCTTCTACCCTCCCCAGCAGCCCTTAAGTGAAGTTCCTGTCGTTTTTGTTTGTTTGTTTTTTCTGGAAAGAACAGATAAAAGGTGGGAAAAGGTAAGAATGACAGGAAACTCACCTGGAGCTGACTCCATCAGCCTGATGGGTTGGTAACACAGAGCTGCCCAACCAAATGGGCCTGCCCTACTCCGACTACAGTGGCCACTGTGGTGGAAGGCAGGGGGTCCAGCAGCAGCAGGCTTTCAGAGCAGGAGGCACTATGAGTGGAGGGGGCTGCTGCTGGCCAGGAGGCCTCCTCCGCACAGGAGGAGAAGGGGGCTCTCCTGGATAGATCATGGATGTCTGCAAAAACGACGGGATACACACTTTTACAAAAGGCGTCAGAGCCACCCAGGTGCCAGGTGCTTCGTAAGAAAACGCAATCCTATTGGGAAGTTATTAGGATGATTAAAAATTAAGCAATTCTGAAACATAAAATATAAAAAGAACTAAGACTATATTACATGTGTGTGGATTCTTTCTGAGAAAAACAATAACTGAAAATGTTTACTTTCTGTGGAAAGGCCCAGTTGTGTGCAACCAGCAGTATGAACCCCATTTTCTTTTCTTTTTTAAAAAAATATATTTTTATTGAGAGTCAGGGAGAGGGGAGAGATAGAAACATCAATGATGAAAGAGAATCATTCATGGGCTGCCTCCCACACGCCCCCCACTGGAGATTGAGCCCGCAGCCTGGGCACGTGCTCTTGACTGTAATTGAACCTGGGACCCTTCAGTCCGCAGGCCGACGCTGTATCCACAAAGCCAAGCCAGCTAGGGCATGAACCCCATTTTCAATGTGAGCTCTCTCGCGGGTGCAGCTGTGAATGTCTAGGGAATTCACAGGAAGAATTCCTATCACACATTAAAGAGGGAGTGTCTTTTTAAAGCAATGCTTAAAGGCAAGTCAGAGAAGAATCAGCAGGCACAGGAAAGGGAGACCAATAAACCAGCCCTGGGAAGTTTCTGGAATACCACCACTGCCAACAAAGACTGGGCACAAAGAGAAACACTGGAATTGTGAGGAGGCAAGACTGCCAAGAGCTTAGAGCAGGCTGACACCTAGGAGCTAGGACCCCAGCAAAATCAAACCTATAGTTTCTCAGAGAAGAAAACTGATCCAGAAATGCAGCCTCCTCGAATGCACCCCAAGTCTGTGTAGGGAGGGGGCTCAACATCTGAATGGTTCCTTCAGAACTTTCGAGCAAGGGCACCCACAGCTCCAGCAGGGACGTCCCATTCTTTGTCTTCGTCCAAGAATGCCTGAAGAGTGGGCACCTAACGTAGGGCTCACAGTGGCTGCCCAGAAAGCAGCTGGAGTGGGGTGCTGTCCAAGTGGACTGTAAAGGCGCCGAGGGGACAGAGGCTTGTTTCAGACTTGCCTGTATCTCCCAGAACATCTACTCCCGTGTTGGTACACAATGAATTCTCAATAAACCGACTGGCTTCAACATCAACCATCTCCCAGCTTTAGGAAATGGCTGCGCACCCCCTGACTTCAGAACGTTCCAACTGAACTGCAGGGACCCCGGAGCTGTGAAGATGAATGCTTATCGCCCGGAGTTATTCTAGGAACTTAATTAAATGCTCCATGCCGGGGAAACGTGGATATTTTACTGCTGCGGTTATTTCACTTGGAACTGAGACTACTAATAAACCAGCATTACTGATAAGCTAAACTGCAAATAATGATAAGAGGCAAAACAGAATTAAGGTGAGTCAGTTCTGTGGCATCTTTATAATTTTGAGAGGACCCTAAAGACAAAAATGTCATTTGGAAGCTACAGAAATGTTAAACTTGAGAAGAAAATGCTTATTGCAAAACTTTGCCAAAATAAGTAAAATTTTAAAGAATTTCTAAAAAGTCATTCATGTGTATAAGTTTGTCAGGCTTTGCTGTTTAATATATCCACACCATTCATTATTAAAAGTTTTAAATCTGTTTACTCAACTATTTCAAGTCAGTTTTCTAAAACTGACTATACAATAAATTTACATCCTGAATTTATATGATCCTAAAGAATAAAAATATTAGGTCTTGCAGTTTTGCAACTAACATATTTTACTAAAGCACAGTTGAATATTTTCAACTGAATTGTGCATTTTTTAGAAGTCTACTTGGTGAAGTAGAGCTTTCACCAAATTTATTTGATATATAGAACTGGAAGAGCATAGATATAGCTTATGGATTTGTTTTGTTCCCTTTGCATATGAAAAGTGTTATTTTTATGTCACTTTTCTGTTGGAAAACAATAAAATAAAACCCCTATGATCATATAAGAACAAAACAGAAGCACAACATGGCCAAAGATCACTTCAGTAATCTTTTTTTAAATGCATCCAGGGGGTGGTATAAGAAACTGGCCACTATTACCTTCCTTTCTAAGAATTTCTGTTGTCTTGTAAGTTCAGAACCCAGTGATGTCCACAGTGTACCAGAATGCTAGTACCTCCATTTCTGATCTTCAAACAAAACCAAGCTGCTCATCACATTCTAATCCATGCCTTACTGTCCAGAGTTCCTCCAGCATTATTTGCTTCATTTCTGTCCTATTTGCAAACTTTTCCTCCTACTTCACAATTTCCCTCCAACTCATCCATCCACCAGGGGCTCTGGAAGCCAGGAACAAGGCAAGGGATGCAGGAGGCCCTGCTGGGTGTGAAGTGGGCCTGGCAGGGCAGTGGCTGGTGGTGAATCTCACATGATGGGCTTGGGGGTGGCCTCTGCAACAGACCTGGGAACTCATAGGCATCAGATGGCCACTTATTTCAGTCCCTATTTTCAGTGACTTTCTACCACCAGCATTGGGCAACATAATCAGCGCTCAATTCCCAGGCCCTCAGTGGAAGGCGAGATTTCACAGACGGCTCCTGCTGGGCTTAAATATGAGGATTTCCTAGAGAGCACATCAGAATCTGCACCCTGTCACCTTTTCTGCCTGACTTGCTAAGTGATCAACAGATAACCTACCACAAGGATATTCTGAACTTTGCTTTCTTCGTAACCTGAAGAGTTGCTTCATCACGCCATTCATCCTCAATGGAAGGAGAAAGCCTTCCCCTATTTTGTTGGTCCTGTGTGACAGACAGTCTCCAATCCCATGCCTCTTGTCAACAGAGATGCTGGGTAGAGCACTTGTGCACATTGCTTATAACGGCAGGCGCATGGCCCTGAGGCTGCCATCTGCTAGGAAGGAAGTACTCTCTCCTAGGATGCTGCAGAGACTGACAGCGAATGTAAACAAAACCCTGAGTCACCGCACGAGCACCATGAGGCCATGGATGCCCAATTACATTTCTGAAAAATATGGGTAGCTTATGACTTTCTATGTTTGCTTAGGTCTTCTTTATTCTTTTGCATGTGGGGTTATATTATAGTCACATTAGCAGAAAGGTAGCACCTTTGGGAAAAACATTTCTCTTCATATAAAAACTCAATTAAATGTTTTCGTTAGGAAAAAAAAGGGGGGGCGCCTTTAAAAAAGGACACTGGTAAAAGAATTCACTCCGCAGAATATCTTGCAACAACTGATGACTTACTTATCGGTTCTTAGACAAATTCTAAATTGGTTAGTTTTCAAATAAACTCATCATTAAATAGGTTAATGACTCATTTCTTAGGAACCTGTTAATGGACTTATTCATAATGAGGAGTATATGATATACTACTTATAGAGTAAATGCATCTTAAAGACACCTCAAGCAGCAATCGAAACACTAAATGACCCCTTAGTGGCCCAGGGTGAACCAATCTACAAAGAGCAAGAACTTACATTTTCCCAAATAGAGGCCTTTTGATCTGAATTATCCCCCAAATTTTATTTCTTTTCCTTTTTATTTCACAAGCACATGAGAGTGTTTAGCAAAACTTCACTCTTCTGCCTCATCAGAACACGGCTCACATAGTCAGGAGCAGCCCTAGTTCCCTGATTAAAACATACTCCTGATTTAGGAACACCTCTGCATTCTCTATTTCTGCCCACTAGCATACCTTGTCTATGCATGAAAGAATTTACTGAAATGTTCCAGAGTAAAAAGAAGGATACCACTTCCCCAAATACTAAACTGTTCTAGAAGGAACAGGCCATATCCTGGGAGAAAGTTATTCATCGGTACACAAAGACCTACAGAGACAGAGAATTCCCTATTCTTTCTTGATAATATTTACAAACATCCCTACCAACTAATTAAATCAGTGACCTTGGAAAAGACTCCCGACCTCCCTTGGGCTCTGTTTTCACAACCTTAAAAATAAGTTACATTATACCAATGGTTCCCCTACCCTTTTCCCTCAAAACGACCTTGTATTTTTCCCTGGTTGTCACTACACCGTGTGGAAAGAGTTTTAATGTATTTGGTGGTGGTAGTGATGGGGAGATATCTTATCAAGTATAATATATATAGTTTGCTTTTCTGAAACAAAAACAGCAGAAGGAATGTAAGTTTTCCACCTTGCAGACCACTAGAAGTCCTGGAAGAAAAAAAAAAAAAAAAAAAAAAAAAACACACACCCTGAACAGAGATGACCAACCAACCAACTTGATTGGACCCTAAAATCCCCTGACAATATGAGAGCCCTGAAAGTAGTATCAAATCCTAAACTCTTCAGAGGGGACTTTCCTTCAATGTCCGGTTTTTCTGCTTAACTGTCTCCATTTTACTCCAATGAATAATGCACACAGAGAAATTATCACCCAAGTGAAATAAAAAACAAAATGTTATAGGAAAATGATGGTGAAACAGCATCTTTGTATGAAGCCCAACACTATTCCCTTTGGCTTGAGAATCTTGGGTAAATCACTAGCCCTCTTGAAGCTGCAGGTTCCTTATTTTAAAAATTGGGGCTCCAAGTGGCCCTGTCTATGTCATAAGGTTTTTGGATTTTATGTGATACTATACATATGAAAATGTCTTAACACTATGAAGTAAAGAAAAACACCTTTTTGAATTTTAGGCAAATATTCTGATACAAAGGGGAGAGGGGCTTGCACTTATCTTTCAATATTGATCAGAATAAAAATATATATATATATTGATCAGAATAATAGTTACATTTTTGTCGTCTCCAATTTCAATAGCATCCTTTCAAAATCATTCATTGCCCACTAAGTTTTGGTGTTGTTAGTTATACTTAGAATTTGGAGGCAAAAGATAGACTGATTTAAGTAACTACTTTTAAGTTTGCATAGAAAAAGCACTATGTCACATTCACAAATACAGGCCAAGTTTAAAGATGCATTTGCTTGCTCAAGTTTTATAAAGTTTCTGGACATGTAGAAGTGACTTTCTGCAAATTTAATATT